ATATATATAGAGAGAGAGAGAGAGAGAGAGAGAGAATACACAGGTTGATAGACAGATAAAATAAATTGGTTTATGGAGTTATAGAAATTGCCAAATTTAAAATCTGTAAACCTGATGTCCTCATTTGAGCCCAGAGGCAAGAGCTGCTATATGTTATAGGAAGCAATCTGCCTTGTCTTTTCTATCGCTTTAATTATCAGTCTCTGAGCCTTAGGTGAAGGGGTTGTGTTGTAGATGTAAGAATTCTGAGCACCTCACGGTCAGTGTTTCTCTGCATTTTGACCAGTTGTAGCTTTCTGTAATGTTCCCCACCTGCTGCAAAAGGACGTTTCTCTGATGCTCTACACTTACCTGTGGGAATAAGGGTAAGTTTTAAGAATTCAGTTAAACACTGGTTTGGGAAAGCGGCAGTAATAGGTTTTTCTCTAGGATCAATGACCTAGGACTCAGGGACATCATAGGAGAGGGGTGGAAGAATGTAAGAGCCAGAGGGCCAGAGCATCTGCTACAAGACCGTCATCTCTATATGACGAAAAAGATGCCCATAAACTCTCAGAAGTGTAGCTGCTTAAACAAACCCTGAATTCCAATTGACCTCCCAGTTCTGATTGGTGAAATCTCCCAAGGCCCTACCCCTTGATGAAGGGGTACAGGCAACTGAGGATTGCTGAGAGAGGGAGGATCAATCTTCCCCAGGGATGAGTCTCCTGACTGATTATCCAATACCAAGTGGTAAGTCCTAAAACATGTACATATGAGCTACACTAAATGGACACAGCAAGCTGTATTATGTATTTATTTGTGTGTGTGTGTGTGTTGTGTGTTGTGTGTTGTGTGTGTGTATATCAATAATAATTTTTAACAGGCTATGAATTTGAGAGGGAATGGGTAGGTGGGAGTGGTACACAGAAGGAGCTGGAGGGAAGAGGGGGAGTAGTTTAAACACAGCACACATACATGAAATTTAAAAATAAGTAATTATTGATATCTTCTGGAAACACTCAGGATAATAAGTAACTAAGTATCTGGATATCTCATGGCCCAGTCAAGTTGGCTTATGAAGTTAACCACCATGCCTATGTTTATGGAATTGGTGTGCTCGAGGGACATATACAATAATGCCTTTATGGACAGACTGAAGCTTCAGATGCAACAACACTTGAATTTTTCAAGGTTGCTACCAGAACACCACACCCAAGTTTCTGCTGTGTGAACATCTTCACAGAGTCTTCCCTGGCCATTGTCAAGGGGTCCTGTGAATATTTTTAACAGAGGTTGGGTCACAGCAATAACCTCTTAGTTCTGTGACTCCTACTATGATCTACCAATGCTACCTGCTAGCTCAGTGCTTTGGGGGTTTGAGGAGGGCATTGAAGGAATGTGAATAAGGGATGTTTTAATCACCTACTTTTTTAGTTCTACCTATTTCATTACTTCTGAAGATCCCAGATGTTTGCTGGAGATAGACTAGCAGGAACAGACCAGATTTCCTTCCTCTATCACATCCTTTCTTAGAGCAGTGATTCAGTTTCCTGCTCATAAAAGGGGCCACCAGCCATTGTGGATAAGCTTGGAAACCTGAATGGGAACTGAGGACCTCCTTTCCTCCACGCTACTTCTAGGAATTGTAAAGTCATAAAAATAGAGCCAGGAACCTTACCGCTCCTGCCCCTTGACTGGGCTTTGTGGCACCATCACTTCCTGTTTTGACTTTTCTCCATGTCCCAACCTCCAATCTATTCTCCTCATAAGAACGAGTGAAGATCTAGTGAAGGCCTGGCATAATGCCCAAGTTGCCTTTGCACAGAACTCTTCACATTTCACATCCAGTCCTCCGCGAGCCTGTCAGGCCCTCTTGAACTCTGTCCCGGCCTCTTCTCAGATGCTGCTTCCCAGCTTTGTCCTATCTTCTCTGCCCTGCTGTAGTGACATTCTCCATTCCTCTGACTTCCTTGACACTTCTCTTCCCTGTCTTTCTCCCACATTCTAGTGTCTCCTCCCCAGACAGACCCAGGATGCAAGGTTACTGTTCCTTAACTACCTTCTGTTCTCTACTTTTCATTATGGCCCCCACATAGAACTTGGAAAAGGAAAGAGCTCTCTGAGTTATTTTTTTGAAAAAAAAATTAGTTTTATTCGTTCTTTGAGAATAACTCCATGCCATTGTACTTTATTCATAAACATGTATTTTGTCATATACATCCTCCCTCCCTTAGCTCCTCTAGACCCATTCCCATGTACTTGCCAATCCAACTTCATGTCCTTAAATAAATTGAATTAAATCTGTGTTGCCCAATCGGTGTTGGGTGTAGGTGGGATCATCCCCTCCAGCATGGTTGACCTACCAGGCTTGGGACAGACCCTTAAAGAAAACTGACTCCCCTTTCCCCAGAAGCCATCAATTGCCAGTATCTTCTCAGCTAGGGGTGAGACTTTGCCCACCTCCCTCCTCCATGTTGGGATTTTTTCAGGCTTGAATTTGCCTATTGCCTATTTGAGTTCTTACAATGATGCCAATTCCATTCATGAAGATAACTGCTTCTGTAACAAACTTAGAGGTTTAAAATTATCCATGTTTATATTCTTACATTTGTGAAATTCAGAAGTTCAAAAATGTGTGTCATGGGGCTCAAAGTGAGTTGTTAGTGGAAAGACTTTTAGAGTATGTGGGAGAGAAGCAAGTTTGGAATCTTAGCCTCTGGAATCTGTAGGGACTCTATAGCTCCTGGCCACTCTAACTCCTGTTTGCATTTCCACACCATTTCTCTCTCTCTCTCTCTCTCTCTCTCTCTCTCTCTCTCTCTCTCTCAAGTTCTCTGTTTATTTGTAGTGAGACTTGATGGGCTGCCTGGGTGATATATGATATTCTCCCATCTTGGGGTCCTTATACTTCATTCACTTTCACAAAGCCTCTTTGGCCATGCAAAGTAACAAATTAGATTAGAACATCCTCCAGTGTTGCTACTTTACCTTGTTGCAGAAGGCAATAGCAAGGGAGTGTGTCTGCGTTTGTCCTCTTGTTCCTTTTTCATGGTTACCATGATCATTTGGTGGAACCAAGCCTAAGCTCTATCTATGGGACTTCTTTCATCAGAATGTCACAGAAGCTGTAGATCACTGTCACCACACACACACACACACACACACACACACTTTCCTCCCATATTCCATGGTCATGCCATCAATATTCCCATTCAATATTCCTGCCTACCCTACCCTACCCACCTCACTTCTGGGCAGAGGATTGGAGAGAATCATTGCACATCACAATATATAGCTGGCTTTTTTTTCCTAAGTGGGAAGGGCCATGACATTGTTCCTGGCTAATAAATGGCTGTAGGTCAAGCAGTCCATTGGTGAATGACATACATAAGCACTCTTCTCTACCTTTGCTTTGATTATTAACGTTACCAAGTTCAAGGAAGGCAGACTTGCAGTCAGTGTGCAGAATAATGCCAGATACAGTTCTCTACCATAATTTCCTGTACTTGGGAGTGTAAGGCAGGAGGATTTTAAGGCTGCCCATTCATCAGCTATATTCATGGGCTTTCTTGTTTCTTTGATGGAAATGCCCATTAACTTCATCTTCTAGTTGTTTGGTTTCTTTTCTAAGGTGATAGAACATTTCATTTCTTTCTTCCAAAAGAAGCTGAGTCACAGTTTGTTAAGAAGCAACTCTAATACAGATTTAAACATGGATATTAGGGAAGGGAGAGTGGTGTTTAGGAAAAGAACATGCACACACCCAAGACATGGGTGTGGACTTCCCAACAGTTTCCAATGACTATATAAAATTGTACTCACAGACTTGTCATTGATCACAGGCAGCTGCTTCTGTCTCTTCCTCATGATAGAAATGATAACAGATCCATCTGCAGGTGTGACAGCTGAGGCTGTGGAAAAAGAGTAAATGGTGCTGTGGGCATTTAACAAGATCGCTCTCTTAGTGTAAGTGATGGGAGTGAAGTATGCTTATTTCAAGGTAAATGCACAGTAGGGCATAATTTGGGGACTTCATAGAAATCAAGGTAGAAGAAAAACATACAGATATCTGGAGTTGGAGAAAATGGAGCTGGAAGAGAGGCATGCTGAGTTGCCAAGACCTAGATATGTGGCATCATAAGCACCAGAGCTCCTGGTTTTGCCCTCCTGAATGGCTCCCTTCCCTTGTCTCCTCTTAAACTCCTCTTTGTGGGTCTTTTATCCTCAGCAAATGTTGGGGGTGAGCAGAGCTTCCCACAGCTGCAGCCAGAGAGCTGGATGTCTTCAGATCAAAAGCAGCCCTTAAACGTGTGTTTCACAAAAACAGAATTGCTGCTGGAGTTCTCATAAGCATAGTGAGAGCATCTAGTTCTGCAGCTGGGGTGTCAAAAAGGGGCACACTGGCCAGCCTGAGAACCCATCACCCAGTGAAGAGCACTGTTTCCATGGAAACCAGCAACTGATGACCCAAATATGCAAGTTAAAGTTCGCCGCTTTACCTACCTCATTGGGTCTACTGAGGGTTGCCACTATTAGATAAAATTCCAGTGCTCTCTTTTGCACAGGTGGGTTTTCTCCGTGCACATCATCAGTCCTATCAGCATAGACCGTGGGGGTCCCTCTGTTCTACATCATCTGCACTTAGTTATAAACTTTTTTTTGTCGGGGCTAGCCACAACCAAGATGCAAGTCATTCCCCCAGGGTATTGCTCACTTGCCTCTCTCTCCATTTCTTCAACCCCTGCAGGGCGAGCCCTGCTGAGACTCACCGACAAGAAGCTGGAACGCATGGGGATCGCCCAGGAGAACCAGCGACAGCACATCCTGCAGCAGGTGCTCCAACTGAAGGTGCGGGAAGAAGTCAGAAACCTGCAGTTACTCACACAAGGTAGCCTGCTGCTTCCTGGTGGGTGGTTGCCCGGGAACATGGGAAGCCAGAAAATGTGATCGTTTGTGACAGAGGGGAGCCAGGAAAATTTGTTATTGTTTCCTTACAGGATGTTCTTCATTAAAAGAAAAGAAGTAGGTAGCTCTAAAGACAACTTCGCTCTAAAACTTTTCGTTTTCATTGCTCACCAGAGAGAAAGTTGCATAAATAAGTAATGGGTCCACAAGTGGAATTACCAGGCGCCAACTTCAAGGTTATCGCGTAGGGCTGCATAGATTGCTTACTGTACCACTCCAGAGAGTACCAATCCCATTGATCAGGGTCCAACTGCTCCCTCCGGAGTTATGTGGTGTTCAGGCTGCACGACTGAATAGCACAGTCCTGGCTGCCCTCATCTGAACAATAATTTCTGAGGAGGTCTTAGAATTTGAGTAATTCTAAAGTTATAATATGGCCCATGCATGCCAGAGATGAGGTTTTGATATATTTTGTTTTACTTTTCTTTTCCTTGGCCAATAGAAGGGAAATGTTTTAAATGTACCTTTATTTAACTGAATTAATGCATGCATAGACTTTAGAGATTTTGAAAACTCTATTAACCTATTGAGAATAGAATGATTTAAAATATAAACTGGAGAATTTAAATTTGAATTGTTAAGGCTGTGTAACTCAATAGTGTCACGAAGAACTTCAATATATTGAGAGCACGTAAGATCCCTATAACTTTGAAGTGTCAAGAAAATCTAAAATTTGAAGAAAACTTAAGTTCCAGTATATGTAACCTATGCATTTACATACTGTTTGAAAGATATAAGCTTCCATCGACTGTACTTTTTCTTCTTTTGTTGCCCATCATGCATCATTTTAAATGAAAGGATGATAAAGTAAGTGTTTTTGAGAGCATTGGGTAGTTTTCAATATTCAGGATATAGTAATTGTATGCATACTGGAGAAATCTGGGTCATCCAAGTTTTATATTATTGCATTTAGATTAGCCCAGGAATAGTCCATTTGTCTAGAGCAGTGGTTCTCAGCCTGTGGGTCATGAACCCTTCAGGGTGGCATATCAGATATCCTGCATATTGGATATTTACATTATGGTTCATAACAATAGCAGAATTATAGTTATGAAGTAGCCCTGAAATCATTTTATGGTTGGGAACCACCACAACATGAGGAACTCTATTAAAGGGTTGAAGCATTAGGAAGGTTGAGAATCACTAGTCTAGAGGAAATAATGCAGTGCCTGAACGATGTGTGCTGCAGAAGGACAAAAATAGACAGAGTGTGACGCAAAAATGGTGTCGGGTCCTTAATATGCTTGTTCGAAGTTTGTCCCTAGAGACTCCTGGTGGTGAGTCATAGGAATGGGTGGACTGAGTAATTTGAATGTGACATGTTGATACACCTTTAAGTTTCTTTTAAGAAGTAAATAGAGATAATAAGACTTATGACAAGAAATGTCATCACAGCACTATTTCTAAAATGGAAAAAATGAATCAAAAAATTCTACTTAAACTTTATGTAATCCAGGCATCAAAATTCCCTTTTAAAGAATATGTAATGTCAGAAAAAGATTTGAGAAATGGGAGTTGGGGCATATGGAAAATTTGATTCATAGCATGGTTCAATTTTTCAAAATATAGAATTCATATTTTAACATATGTATAATATGCAAAAGGAGTATAGATGATTATGCCATATTTTCATGATGGTTTGCTCTGGGAAATACACTTGTGGATTATCTCACTTGTATTCATTATACTTGTCCATGTTTTCTGAATCCACTATAAAGTTGTACTGTTTAATCAGAGGATATTAACTAGTAGCTTCTACAGCATTCTTCTTTCTAGGTTCTATTTGGTGTCTGGACCTTTTAGGAGCTTTCTTTTCCTCCTGTGTTGATCACGAGGAAGAGACTTATCCTCATGGAGCATGCCTTTGACACCATCCTCTACTCCTTTCCCCCTGCCTAGACTGTGCCTCACAAAATCATCTTCAGTATTCATTGCCCAGAAGTCTTCTTCAGATACTACTTAAGCCTACTAAGCTAAATGCTTGTCTGTGTTCTGGGAAAGTCCTAAGCTCAATCTTTCTGATTTCATTGTTGGCATCCCCCACTCCACCCTCATTGAAAAGCTGTACATTCTGTATTCTTTCATCCCACTCCTTTTGGAAGAAACTAATGTTCTCTTTAGCTCATGGGTATTTTTCTCTGAGTGTTTATTGCCTCTCTTAGTGCTTGTCCTTCACATGTTAGTGTTCAAAATCCCTTTATGTCAGGCATCCTTTAAAAAAAAAATCTACAGTGTTATTGAAGTGATAATTTCCTTTTTTTAGAAAGGGGAACAAAATTGACAAGATGTTTTGAACATTGATATTTGAAGATATAAAGAGATCTGGTGAAGCTTTAAATTATTGGGGGTTTAGGTTTGCTCTAATAAGAATCAATGTTCTATCTACTCAAGGGAGCTGGATGGTTTAACATGCATATCATATGATAGTTCACTACAGGGGTGATTCAATATTAAATATTTGATTCTTCAAACCCATAAATACTAAGCTATTGCAACAATATGCCAAATAAGTACAAGTGTTCTGTGATGTTTTTTCTGTCTTTTTGAAAGTCTCTGGGCCTGTGTCTTCAAGAGAGTGGGTCATACTTTCAGTTTATAAAAAAGAGATACAGTGCTGGGACACATAAAATTACTCTCTGGTACAAAGCATGTTTTTGTTGGTGTTGATGGCATAATCCATTCAAGCTGCTAGAGTAAATACCACTAACTATTTAGGTTGTTATATTGTAGTTACTATTCTTATTTCTGTGACTAAATGTCTGGTGAAAGCAACTTATGGGGGGATGGGTTTATTTTAGCTCATAGCTTGAGGGTGTACTTGTTACACCTGGTAGGGTATACATAGAAGGGAGAGCATGGCAGCAGGAGGATGGGGTAGCTGGCCACATTATTCCTACATTCAGAAAGCAGAGAGAGATGAATGCCAGTGCTCAGTTCCCTTTCTCTTTATTCACTCCTGAACCCCAGCCCACACAATGGTGCCATCCACATTTAAAGTAGGTCTTACAACCTCTGTGACATACCCAGAAATGTGTATCCTGCATGATCCTAGATTCTGTCAACTTCATAATCAATATTAACCATGACAGCAAAAAGCAATAGAAATTAATTCTCATCATTCTGAATACTGGGAAATCTGGGGTCAAAGTGTTAGAGGATTCATGGACCAGTCAAAGCAGCTTCATGGGCCATTCTAACTGAGCCCTTCCACTGTGTTTCATATGTCAGAAGCAAGACATAATCACTCTGAGGTCCCTACCAAAGATACTTATCCCATTGATGAAAATCTTACCCTCAAGGCCTAATCCTCTATCAGAGGTCCCATCTCCTTAAACCATACCTTAAGGATTACAACTTCAATGAATGAGAGTGTTTGGAGGACAAAATATCTGACCTATTACATTGGCATTTAACTCTGTGTTATTTTTAAACAAAACTAACCATTTTTAAAGGGGGGTATCGCCTTTGATGTAATCCATGTGTGTCTGTGTGTGTGCGTGCATGTGTGCACATGCACAATTGGAGACAAAAGGTTGACATAGGATGTTTTCTATCACTCTCCACCTACCTTAGTTTATGCAATTGACAATGGAGCACACCGACTTCTCTAGATTGGGTGGTCAGGGAGCTACGAAGGTCTGCCTGTCTCCACATACCAATTCTAACACACACACACACACACACACACACACACACACACACACACACACACACACA